ATCAAGGGGGGGGGGGGGGGGGGATTTAGCGAGAAGAGGGCGGGGTTGGTGGTGGCAGCAGATCGGCGAGGCCCGTCGTGCAGCCTCCAGCGACCGCTCGCGCTTGTCTGGCGGGGCGAGTCCCGTCTCTCGCGCAGCGTCTCTCGGGGGCGCCGACCTGGCCGCATCACCGCCGAATCGAGCATGTCGGGCCGGTTGGTCGCGGCGATGATGAAGACCGACTTCTTGGCGCCGACGCCGTCGATCTCGGTCAGGATCTGGTTGACGATCCGGTCGCCCGCCTAGTCTCGGGCAACCTCGGGTGATCTCGGGTGATCTCGCGGAGCTGGTTGACGCTCCGGTCGCCCGACCTCGCCACCGCCCGCGCCGCCCGAGCCGCGCGGCTTTGCGATCGAGTCGATCTCGTCAAAGAAGAGGATGCAGGGCGCCGCGCCGCGGGCCTGCGGAGAGAGGACGCGATTCGGACGGGGCGGCGGCGGGGGAGCGGCGGGGGAGCGGCGGGGGAGCGGCGTGGCAGTGGGACGGGGCGGCGGCGGGGGAGCGGCGGGGGGGCGAACTGGCAGTGGGACGGGGCGCGGGTACTCTCGGGGCGCGTACTCTCGGGGTGATCTCGGGGTGATCTCGGGGTGATCTCGGGGTGGTCTCGGGGTGGTCTCGGGGTGGTATCGGGGTGGTATCGGGTGATCTCGCGCCTTGTTGAAGAGCTCGCGCACGTTCTGCTCCGACTCTCCGAACCACATCGAGAGGAGCTCGGGGCCCTTGACCGAGATGAAGTTGGACTTGACCTCGTTGGCGATCGCCTTTGCGACGAGCGTCTTGCCGCACCCCGACGGGCCGTACAAGAGGATGCCCTTGGAGGCGGAGAGGCCGTACCTGTCGGGAAGGTTCCGAGAAGGTTCAGGGTAGGCTCCTAGGACTCCCTCGGAGGCGGAGAGGGGCCGCACCGGTGATACTTTGCCGCAAACTTGAGCGGGTACTGCAGCGTCTCGACCTACGGCCGCAGCAGCTCCGGGAGGAGGTGAGTCGCGCGGCGCGGTGGGCGAGGGAGCGGGAGGAGCGCCGGCGGAGGCGGGGGCGTCGGGAGGGGGGGGGGGGGGGAGTGTGCGCCATCTCGCGCTTGACGTCGTACAAGCCGCCGACGTCCTCCCACGAGCAGTCGGGGATCTCGACGAGCAAGTCGCGGAGCGAGGAGGGGGCGGTGCGCGAGAGCGCGTACTC